GATAAAATGTCATGTCTCATGTGTCCTGGTTCTTACGTTTTCCTACCTCCCTATATCAAGCATGATATAAGGGCTTTCATGGCAAATTTTATTTTAACTGTTTCTATGGTTACTGGAAATGTTGGGTTTAGTTTCTAAAACCATGTTTTAAGTAGCTACAGGAGCTATAGATTTGAATCTAATGTTGCATTAGTCTTTTCAGTTATCTTCTACCTCCTGTATTTTCTACTGTAATAATGTAATTTAAGGCCTTCCACAATGAACGGTTCACTTTATTCCCTGGGTTTTCTATATAAACAGTTTTCAATATATGATTTGGTTAAAAATAATTTGTTATAAAAATTCTGTTTGCAAATTAAACTGTAAAAGTATCCAAAGTCTTAAAGGCAATCATTTGTGTGATAATTTGGTATGTCCAGAGCCCTACTCATCAATGAAAATCTCTTATAATAATTGAATTCATTAACCTGAATCTTGAGTATTTGGACCATTGCTTGCATGTTAACATTTTCTTGCATTTTTAACCCCAGGTGTCCTTAAGCTCAATTGTTTGCTCTTTGATTTTCATCCTTAGTGAAGCCATGGAGAACAAACATGAAAAGTTTGTGAAATCATATGTGGCAGGTGTTGGGAAGAAGAAAGTTGAGCTTTTTCTCGCTGAGAAACTTCTGCATTCAGTTTGTATCTTTCCAGGCAGAACAAAAAAATACTCTTCATATAACCATTTTCAAACGTACGTTAGGAAAGTCTTTAAAGTATTTTATGCTCAGAATATACTTAAATTGATAGGAAGGGACTTGTAAAGGAGTGCAAGTAAAAGAAATGGCCCATGTATTAAACACAGTAAAAATTGTTGAAACTGTTAAGGGTCAGCATGTTCTAATTGGGAATCTAAATACAATTTATATTTCCTATTGGTTTAGAATATTCATTATAAAGAATGAAGTGCAGCAATAATTATATATTCCCACTTGGTCATACTGGACTGTCTTCATTCTCTTAACATACTTAGTAATGTCTCAAGCATCTGGCTATTAACATACCCTCGTTGGCATTTTTTAATTGCCATGAGCCAAATATTTCTTCTCTACGATTGATCCATTTATTTTAATGGCTGCCTTTTAATTTTCATCTTTCTTTTTCTTGCTGCTACCCATCTATATATATATAGTCATGGGGGGTGGGGGGGTAGCCACATTTTTTAACGGAAAGACTTAGTGTTAAAAATGACCGTTTTGAAGGTTTTTTTAATTAGTGAAGGAAACTAGCCTGGAATAATGTCACCAGAGACTGAGTGGAAATTGCCCCTTTTGAAGGTGCCTTTCTTATGAGCCAAGAATTTGGTGTTCAAAAGTTCATCCTGAGGGAAAAATAACATGTAATATAATTTGAAATAAAGATATAGTAACCTTTAGAAGAGCATTATAACTGGTAACATTGTGAATGGGGTGATTTGTTTAATGAATAACTTTGATAAAGTTTTCGTGCACAAACAAAATGTATTCACTAGATTTCGATGTAGTGATCTCCTTTTACTTTGTAATTTGTAGTCCTCAAAAGGTTTTTTTGTTTTTGTTTTTGTTTTTGTTTTTGTTTTTTTTTAAATAAAATCCATCCTTACACTTAGGTTTTACAGATCAGTCTTTTTTTTTTTTTCCTTTTACTTTGTAATTTGTAGTCCTCAAAAGGTTTTTTTGTTTTTGTTTTTGTTTTTTTGTTTTTTTTAAATAAAATCCATCCTTACACTTAGGTTTTACAGATCAGTCTTTTTTTTTTTTTTTTTTTTTAAATTTTATGTTAATACCTACTGGTACTTTTGTAAATTCTATGTTAATACCTACTGGTACTGTACGTTATGTGTTTAGATGTCTTTACTGTATAAGCATTAAATAATTATTGCTTCTTTTATCCTATGACTCCCAAAGTGTAAACATCTACACAGAATTCTCATATAACTGAAACTACATTAACATTTCTACAACCAAGTCATTGCATGTTACTGCCGTACAAGGTGTTCCCTGTTTTATTGATACCATGTATAGCAAAAGTGTGTAGTCTTCCAGAACTACATTATGATTTTTGATCATAGTTTTTTCCATCACAACACAGTAGTGTTTACTTGCTGTAATATTATAGTGAATGGATAAGTCACCTGTGACAGAATAGTGTAAAGAAAGGGAATGCTTTATAAGAAGACTTAGATTTTCATTTTGAATTTTAAGTGGTAATTTTAGAACCCAGCTGCCAGTGTCAACCTATGGCCTCAAATATGTAATTCTTAATATAGATGTTAAAATTGTACTTTTAATTATTATTGGATAAATGTTAATTGATATTTTTCAATTTGGTGTCAGTTTCTAAGGATAAGTCTCTTGGATACTATAATTAAATGTTTGTTTACAGCTGATCGTAAGTTTCTTAATCTTATACTTTGGGAGTATTGTTCTAGAGATGTTTATTATTCTGTTCTTACAGAAACTCCAGACGCCAAAAATGCCACAGAATATTTTGACATAGCGTAATGATGGTGGGGATGGGGAAATGCACGTGACCCAGAGATTAACTTCTGATCAGTGTTTTGCAAACTTTTTCCTATTATTATCACATCGTCTCCCCAAGAAGCTTAGACTTTTTTTTCTAGTTGCACCCCCAGTAAATTTTAATATCATAGATACACTATATGTACTGTATTTGTGCTTTATACATGAAAAGAGTAAGATTTTCTTGGTCCCCTTGGAGATGATGTCACCCCCATTGAGAATGCCTGCTCTAATATGTCTTTTTTAAAAGGGTCAGGAGACTTAGTAATAGACGTGTGCGTTGGCAAATATGTCTTCATGCTTATCCATAGTGTGAAGCTATATTTTTTCTGTCAGAATAGAAAATAGAGGAAATTTCATTTTCTTCCAATCACTTTATTTCAACAGTTGTGTTTTGTATCTTAACCCACCACAATAGACACCATGTCTTCACAGATTCATACTTGATTTTAAATGTAATAAAGTAAAATAATTTGTGTTCCTTCTAATCTACAAAATTAAGTGAAAACCCTTTAGATGAATGATTTATTTTAAAGTCGTGGCCATAACACTGATATTATATTATTACAGTATTGAAATTTTACTGAGGAACCTCTACTGTCATATTTAAGTAGGCTGCTTGCAGGAACTGAAACAACTATTGGTTGGCTTTAAGTGTAACATAGATGCCAAAGTTTTAGTATACATTATCATTTAGACTTCTGAATTAGCTTTGTAAAAATTTTCCTCAGATGCTATTTACAGATGCCATGTAAAATAAGTTGATAAGCGTTTCTGTGGGAATTCTGGTAAGTTGCCTTGATATGATTTTTTCATGTTCAGTATTAGTCCTGTGCTGTCAGTATTAAATATTTCTATTCACCAGCCTTCTTAAGCCCGAAGGTTTAAAATGTTAGAATTAAAGAGTTTTTCAGTAGGCTTGATTTCATTTAAGTGGAATTTGTAAGATATAAGTACTTTCTGACTTCTCAAGTAAAGAACTTATAATTGGCTTTTGTCTAAGAACCTGAATTACAGTGGATTTAATATCTGAACAGTCTTAGACATAAATGTATAAAACTGGGTCAGAAAAGCTTCCTGACTCCTTTCTTCCCTATTTCTTGCCCCTCATTTAACCATAGGCAATTAGCAGCCATATCAAATCCAATCATTTTCATTTTCTAATGTATTTATAATCTTTTTATCTTTATTCTAGGATTAGAGTCAGTTCTTAATGAATTGAAAGGATGGGGATACTTTACAAATTTACTCAATCACTGTCAATTTAGTAACCCTTAATCAGAATTTTAGTTAAAAGCTCAACTGCTTGTGGTGCCTACTGTAGTGCCCTAGAGGAGACAATGATAAAAATCTGCCAAATCCCTTTATAGACTTTATCCAGAGGGACCAATATCTTAAACTATGATATGATTAGAATGTTTGTGGTTGTGTAATGAATTTGGGGTGCTAAAAAGTTTGGGCTGTTCTGTTTCAGGGAATTTCTGGTGTAATCATTTAAAACTGAGCAAAACAAGCTAGGACCTAGTTCATGTTAATATGCTAAGGACAAAAATAGATGAAACCATTTTTTTAACACTGAAATTCTGAAGGCTGTGCTTAAAAGTTAACTTAGTGGTAAATCTGTTGGAAATAACTGACCCTTTTATAGACTGAAGCCTCTTATTTCAGAAGGATGTTCTACATTCTCTGGCATTTTAAGAACAAAATATTTTCTCTGCGAACACCTCATTTCCATTCTAGTTAGGTATAATGGAGTCTCGCATGACAAACAGTTGAAGAGGAGAAAACTGGATAGCTGGTACTCCATATAGCTTTTGACACTCTGACCAACCTCAAGTACAGCCATCCAAGCCAATAAATTACATTGCTGCATTATTTCTGTTTTAACTGTGAAACTTGCTTCTTGTCTGTACCCTTAAAATTGAATAAAATTTCATGAGACTCCTTGTTAATGTAGAGAAAAGCAATGACTGTTCAATGGCTGTACACTAAGGCCTGAGTCCTTGACCTTATCATTTTGCCTCTGTTTTCAGTATCACCTAAAGGCTCGTGCTTGTCACGTACTGTCTTAGTCCATTCTGTGCTGCTGTAACAGTACCACAGGTTGGGTAATTTATAAAGAACAGGGACTTATTTCTTACAGTTCAGGAGGCTGGGAAGTCCAAGAGCATCTGGCAAGGGCCTTCATGC